ACCACCACCTACCACCTACCACCACCTACCACCGGAGTGACGCGTCTCGCGGTCGCGGATGAGAGAGTGTGAGGCGGCGGCGGCGGCGGTGTTCGGCGGGGAGGAGAGGAGATGCGCATATCTGCAGGTTCTCTAGCGCGGTCGTAAAACGAGATCCGGAGCCATGCCCGGAGTGACCAAGTACAATTTAGTGGATGACGCGCACGATCTGAGGGTCCCCATGCACAACGAGGAGGTGTTTAATCATGGGGTCTGCTTCGAGGCAAAGGTAAGGACCCTCTGCAACAAATAGGATTTTTTTTTTTTTTTATGATTTAAGCTCCGAGGATGGTATGGCTGTTGTTACTTCTATATGTCCATCACTTTATTTTCTTGTTGACACGTTTATTGTTGTCCAGACCTCATTTTAACCAGGTTTGATCATCTCTCCACTAACTGGATAATATTTATCCACTTTAAGATTGCAGATAGATTTATTTTTTCTGACATGTTTCAATATCAGAAACACTAAATGCAACAAATTCTGTTTTCTAGAGTTTTTGCTCCACTGTTTTGTGAGTTTTACTTGTTTTTATGGTGATATTTTTGCTTCAGTTGCCCCATTTTTTGTATAAAAATTCTATTTGTTTAAAGCAGCTCTTTAAATGTTATTGCATGCCGTAGACTATTGTCACCTTCCTAAGATAATGGCGTAAGTCTTTTTTTTTGTTGTTGACAAAAGGGATTTTGAAGGGGGAAAAAAATCAACACCTCATATCCTGCCAGAAGATGATTTAGGGAATAAATAAATAAATAAATAGAAAATAAAAAATTGTTTTGGCAAAAAATGTCTTAGGCCATTATTTTTTTTAAATTTTTTTTTAAAGTTTGATATATTTAAAATGAGCCAACAGTGTCAGAGCTGATCATTTCACCTACAGTTCCAGAAGTTTACATAACCTCAACGACATAAGCGACACGTGAATTCTGGGTTTTCAGTTCTGCCTCTCCAGAGTGGAACGATATCACAACATTTAAAAACAAGGCTGAGGTCTGAAGTTAATGAACGTTGTCTCTAATCTACCGAGTGCTGGAGGTTTCTTCTGGGGGCAGACAGGGTCCATACGAGCGGAAAATCATAATTATCATAATTAACAGAAATAAAGGCCTGAGAACATCAGTCTGTGCCTAATTAGTTAATTGCTTAAGTGTGTTTCGACAAGTTCAGGGGAACCACACACTTAGAGCTGCCATCAACATGATTTCAGCATAATTCTGGGTTACAAATATGAGTTCTTGTAAGAATTTCAATGGGTTGATTTACTGTAAGCCTGGCTTCTGAGAACAGTCTGTATATTTTCAGTAACTTTACAGTTGTGGAATATTAATGGCAGCTTGTAGGGACCCACCGATTAATTCAGTCCTCATATCTTTCATTTTGGGTGATCGACTGATACTTGCAAAAAACAATTTTGTTTGGCCCATGAAGTCAAGAAAGGTTAAAAATTTGGCCAACAAACCAGAAAACATTGATGACCCCAAAACTGTGGAAATTGTCTTTTTTATTTGACCTTTTTTGTTTGGACACCACTGATCCAAAGGTGTGACTGAAGTCTTTCTAAAAATGCCACTTGGGAGGTTTTGAATAAAACATATTTACAAACAAACCCATCATCCAAAATGTATATAGATTTTTATTTTATTTTTTTTACAGTTTTGACATAGTCACTGCTCTGAATCTGTTGGTTTTTTTTTGACAAATGAAATTTTTTTGAGTCTGTAATCTCCAGCTAAGGACTAATCAATTACTCAGTTAGTTGACGAATATTTCAATATCAGATTAGTACAATTAATCGCTTCAAGCCTAGTGTGAAATGAACCTAACACTAACAACCTGCCAAAACCCAAAGTAATCCTTTTGAACTCTTGTCTTGCAGTACATCGGCAGCTTGGAGGTGGGTCGCCCCGGCAGCCGGATGGAGATAGTCGCCGCGATGAGGCGAATCAGAGTAAGAACATGTGACTTCATTGAAACAGATGCTATATTTAAACCTGGTGACAATAGCCCCTCTGAATCTTTAACAAGCTGTCAGAGTCACTCATGCTGTCACACCGAACACATCTCCATCCCCGACTGTCTGTTTTCGGAAGCGTCCACGCCACGTTGCCTTCACCTACAGATCGTCTTCACCCACAGATCGTTTCCCCCCATCCCCCCCACCCCCTTCAGTGCACGGCACACATCGGTGAGGTTCAGCGCCTTGTCACTAGCAGTTTCAATCCTGTGATGACATACGGGGAACGAAAGAGGGAGGAAAAAAAAAACCCTCTGAACATTCTCCTGCACAAGACGAGGTCGCCCAAACACGAAGCACTGCAGTGGCACACAGCAGCACAGAGTGCAGAGGATTTGGCTGCTTTGCTTGTCAGCTGTTGGATCTAATCTAACAACAGAGTTGTTGTGTCAGCCTGAGGTCAGCCTCGTCCCCACTGACACCCGGGGAAAAACTTAATCCCGATCCCTCGCCATCAGCTCCTCGTAATGGCCATTTTGGTCTCCTCGCAAAGATTTACTGTTGCAACGTCGCAGACTTTTTAGGAGACGTTATTAACACCGTGCTGAAGATTTGATGTCAGACGAACTCAATGCGGATAATAAAGGAAGCCACACATTGCTCAGCACAATCCAAATACTGAAGAGCTTTTTGGCTCAACATGGATTTTTCCGTCTGAGTTGGAAATAAACAAAGTTTAATTAAATACTTGGATTTTGTGCCTTTTTATCTAAAGGCAAACAGAAGAAAAATGTTTCCTGATGCTGTGACACAATTAATCAAATGTGGCTGAGAAAGAACAAAAGGAAGACATGAAAATGCAGGAAGTAACTGCATTTCTATTACAAATACACTTAGTTGATATTTTTCTAATGCCGTAACTGCAGTATTTCAGTTTCACAAGAAATACAGGTAAAATCAAATGTGAATAATTTTGCTCACATAAGGCATTAAAGAAATGTGGCGCACCATACTACTTCCTGTTGTCTTCTTTGTCTTATCTGGTTGATCACATGATCTTGTTGATCACTTGCAGTTTTGCAAAATACACAGATTTTCTTATGGTTGGAGAACCACCTCATTGTAGCATTGAAGCTTCTAATCAAAAAACTTAACTTTTTCGAAATTGGTGTGTTTCCAGTAAGCAAATTTATATTTGTTTTCCAATTTGCACAACTTTACAGTCAGTGGAAATGCATCTAGTGACCTGAAGAAGTGAGATGACGAGATTTTAAAAGTAGAATAGAATGCAATAACGTTAGGGCTGGAACTTTAACACATTCATTTCGATTTAATAATTACATAGATTTTAAAACGTAAACTTTTTTTTCATGTAAAGACTCCAACCAGAACCTGTGTGTAAAAGCATACATTTCTGGTTTGCCCATAAGTTTGACGCACAAACGATGGACGACTGAGCCGTTTCTCTTGGTCCCCTTGCGCTTAATTTCTGCTTCAAAAAACTATCTGATTGGATGCTTGAAAAGACTATTGTTTGGGTTCAAGTTGTACTAAAAGGAATTAGCATAGCAGAGAACTTATTAACGGCTAACGTAGCATCTCAATGCTGAACATGTAGCAGCAGCGCAGAAGTCCCCAACGCTAAAAAATGTTCCTTGATTGATCAGGGGTTCTTGAAACACTGTAAAACTGGATTGGTAGAATAACACTTTGTACCAGTCTCATGGTTGAATAACCTAAATAACAGATCATCAACAATAAATATGCTGAGCTCATGTGTGTTTATTCAATAATTTCTCAGCAATAAGGGTTTTTAAACTGAAAGTGTTGCTTATTTTGTCGATATATAGTTTTTGACTAATATGCAATGAATTCATCCCCTCAAGAAAGTTGATCACACCTACTAATGCAAATTCAGTCACCAATTTTGCACTGACTCTCAATTTTCATCAGTCGTTGCAACTTTTCCTCCAATCATCTTAACGTTTTTCTGTATCACCTTCTTTTCTGACCAATCACTGCAACTCAGTTTCTGTGTGCACAGTTCCATGCCAACTTGAATGAAAAATATGGAACTCTCATTTTGGACTTTGATGACTTCTCCAGACATGACTGTATTTGTATTTTATGTAAAGCCATTCTACGGCAAAACAAAACAAAAAAAAACCTTAAAAAATTGCACCTTTGACCACAGCTTTTTAAAAGAAGTGCCACAAAATCAGTAATTTTTGGCAGCAACAGTCACAACAAAAAAATCAGCGCAATTTCCTGGAGGGAAAATTAATTGTGATTAATTACAGACACTGCAGTTACTGCAAAAGGTTTTTAGGATTCCCACCTTTAGATAACTTAAATCTTGCCTGTGGAAGAAGCATCTGTCACCTGTGATTCTGTTAAACTATTATTAAACTGACTACTCAAAACGTGAGGCGTCCTTAAAACCCTCACCGGGGCTTCTTAGACGAGACTCGGGGTGAGCCGCCTCAACCTGTAGCAGGAGGAACCTTGTGAGCTGGTCTCAGGCTGATGTGCATGAAAACGCAAACACTCCCTGTGTTCCACTTCATCTCCCCCTGACAGCACTGTGTTGCAAGATGGATGGTCCTCTTGGCCCAGTTTATGGGAAATAACAGACACTTCCACAGACACACACACATTAAGAGATTCGTGTCCTTCACCTGAATGTATAAAGCCCAGGAAGCATGTTGAAACTCCCACACAGCTACATGATGGATTAACTGGACGATAGCACATGTCAGGAACACGGGTCGCGGTCTCATGGACGGAGCGCTTTGAGTTTTCCTTTTTAATCAAAAGCAGAGATAGATTCCGCCAACAGTGCTGCAAGCAACAGTTCCTGGTTCGGTTCTTGTTTTACGATTATGATGCTTTGTTAAAAGCATATAATAACCATGCACTGGTTCTGTTGGACCTCACAGTGTCCTTTGGCACAGTGGATCATTCTGATCTTTTGTCATGATCGAACCACTGTGTCGGCATCTTTAGCTCATCACTAAAATATTTAACCTCCTATCTGAGAAGTAGAACCATCTCCGTTATGTTTACCATTTTGACTCTTCTAGTGCTCCACTTTGATGTGAGATCCCACAAGGCTCCATTCTTGGCCCTCTTTTGTTTTCATGTTTCACACGCTGTGTTAACTTGGTACCGGTTCTCCACGCACCCGCAAACGATGGACGACAAAGCCACTTCTCTTGGCCCAATGGGAGTTAATATTAGCTTCAAAAATTAATCTAATTAGTCTTTTCCTTGGAAAAGACTGTCGTTGAGATAACAGACACTTCCACAAATCCACAACTCTAACATCAATGTCGACAGTCTACATTTCTAAAAGAAGTATTTTTTTTCTAAGAAGTTCCTTGAATAATCTGGGGTTCCTGAAACACACCACTAATGTGTTTTTCCTCCTATCTGAGTGACGGAACATTTTCTGTTATGATGTTGACTCTTCTGGTGCTCCTCTTTGATGTGGCGTCCCACAAGGCTCCAGGCTTGTCCTTCTTTTGTTTTCTGTTTACATGTTATGTTACATGTTATAACAGCACTAGATCTCCTTCCTTTGTTATGCAGATGACCTACCTATCTACTCGTCCCAGAAGCCTGGCTGCAGTAATGCTCTCTGTTGTTTTTACTGGATTGCATTACTGCTGTCCAACACTGGTTGGGCCAGAAGTTTTTGTTTTCAGCCAAAACATTGAATGTATTTTACCTGGTGGCAACATAACTACAGATGTCTGTGCTTTCACTTTTAATTGTAAAGAACATTTAGGGGTTATATTTGATAAAGATTTTAAAATCGATTTGACCAGGATGAGCTTCTTTCAGCTGCGTCTCTTCGCTCAGGTTGAGCCTTTTTGAACTTTTTGATTATTTGCGATCTTCTTAGGTGTTCTGATTTTACTGTTATGAGCTTCGGTCTCCTAATTTGGAATGTACACGTTTTGCGATGCCACCACCTTAAAGTTCAGAGAATTTTATTCAGACATTGCGTGAAAGTGCAACACAAAAGTTACATATTGTGAAACGGAAGGGATTTCTGTCGTTTTTATGTTTTACAAAAACAAATCTGAAAAAATAGTAAATTCAAACCCTGTTTTTTTTTTATTTATTATATTATAATTATATTTAAATTCAAGAGTATTGATGTCATCCAATCTGACAAGGGCTGAGCTGAATTTGTAAATGTGCAGAGCTGGTGGAGAGATGTCTTAAAAACCTGATGACAATATTTGTGCAAGTATTGAATCTGGGTTTTATTCGTTTTTTTAGATATATGCCACATTGTATATATCTATATCTCATATGTCTATGAGATATAGTCATATGAAAATACACTTAGGTTTGTAGCTACAACATGACATAACGCTTGCAAAGCCTCCTCAGGCCCAGCTCGGAGCTGTTATTTTTACTAAAATGAAAGCAAAGATAACAGAGAATATCCAAGTTTTTCATGCAGAGACGAGGAGGATTTGTTTGCCCTCTGATTTCACAGAACTTCCTCTGATCAGTTAGTCATCTGAAGTTGGATTTTTAGTTTTTGAAGCTTGATGTGTTTTGTTTTTTTTTCCCCCCCACCACTAATCCTATTGGATTTTTTTTTTTTAAGCATTGATATTTGGAGCCAGAGCCTGCAGTGAAAGCTCAGTATGTACCATTAATCATGCAGAGGGATGAAAGTGTCCCACACACGTCTGGCTCCCTCTGGCGAGGCAGCCTTTAAAACCTTAAGCATCTACCAGAAACAGAAACTGACAGTTCCTCCATGTTTACTCTGTCTCATATGGAGAAGATAAAAATAATCCCGCAGCAGGGTGGTCCCCTCTCTCTTTCTTTTAGTTTGTCTAGTGAGATTCAGCGAAGCAGTAATATCCAGCCCACAAAGTTAAACAAATGTTTTCCTTCCGTTACAGTACGAATTCAAGCTGAAGAACATAAAGAAAAAGAAGGTCAACATACTCGTGTCCACCGACTGTGTCAAAGTGATCCTACGCAAAAAGAAGAAGGTAAAACCGACGGAAGAGAGTCCTTCTGTTTTCCATGAACCGATTTTAACTCTTTATTGACAGTATTCAGGATTTAACCCCAGAAAACCCGGTGGGCCCTGTGGTGGGGCCGCCAGGGCAGTCCACCAGCAGCCCACTGCGTTTTTGTGTTGAAAATATGTTAAAGGGGCAGTGTTACATATTTTCCACACACAGTGCCTTTTTATAGCACAGTCAAGTAACTGTTACCTTTAGTTGTTTTAAAAATGCTATATATCAAATATGACATGAATGAAATTTGACTTTGTAATTTAACACCTTGAAATTGGGCCTCTGCCCCTTTAAGAACTCCTGATTTTTCTGAAGCTTCGCCTTCAGGAGGTCATCACAACATGGCTCCTCTATTAACCCTTGAACTACATTTTTACAAGCGTTGCACTGAGAAGTACACAGTTCCACCAGGTGCTAATTCCTCCTGGCTAGTCTGAAGGAACTGAATGGGGGCATGTAAGGGAGAGGGCTGCTCTGTGGAGTTTGGAAGCTTGGAAACTGCAGCTTTGAGGAGGAGCTGCATCTCGAATGTGGCATTAGGTCCACCCAGTTTTGTTTTTGATGAGGGAATAACATTAAAATAAGAAGTAAAGCTCAAAAAAGAACTGATGGCGCCCAGTTCAACTATAAACCTATCTTAACCTGTTTTTACTGTTCCTGCTGTTTAAAAAGACCCTATTTAAAATAAACGAAAAATACCTAGCCTGGTGGGGGGGGGGGGGGCAAGTAAAGCCTGGTGAGGAACCCTGAGTATTGTCAATGATCTGTTTTTCTTTTGTTTTGTTGTTGTTGCTACAGAGAAAGGACTGGTCATGGGATGAAAGCTCCATGTTGGTGACACAAGACCCCATCTACAGGTGGGACGAGGAAGATCCTTAATCAGCCTGAGTCGAGGATGCTAATGAAACCCCGCTGACCATCTTGACTGACCATCTTGTGTTGCCTCTGCAGGATCTTCTACGTCTCTCACGACGCTCAAGACTTGAAGATATTCAGTTATATTGCCAGAGACGTGCAGAGCAACGTTTTCCGCTGCAATGTGTTCAAGTCTAAGAGGAAGGTGAGTGGGACCCTCAGCAGCTGAAGACTCTAAATATACTTCTTTAGTGTCGATGAGACTCTCTTACTGAAGCAGCTTGATTCAGGTGAGGCCTGTCAGATAATGCGTTTTATGAGGCTCGATTAAGTTTAATGAAGAGATTATAAATTCAAGTCGGGGGTCCCAGCGCTCTTCAGCAAGTCTGACCCTTTAAATCAAGGCTAAATTTAGAGTTGCCTTGTTTGAATAACGTCTTTATCCCAATATTATACGATGAGCGTTTTTGATGGTGTTTGTGAAAATGTAATCTTTCTTCTTTTTGTATGTATTCATCATCTGTTGCTAAAATATGCTACACAACTAAGCTTGCATTGACTTGAACAGTGTGCATGTGGCAGTCCAAACTGCACAGTCAGCTTTGTACATTTCTCAGCATTAAGTTCTCACCATGAATGCTGGGAAATATTCAATGCAGATTAACGTGACTAAAAAGAAACAACTTCAACTTTTGTATTGCCAAACAGGAAGTTTCACTTAGCTTTGAGAAGCTACAGGTAAGTGTAGCTAGCTTCTTGCTTTTAGCTTCCTCTAGTGTTCAACCTGAGATGATCTTTGTTTTAAATAAATATGTACAAATGAGGACACTCATGCCAGTCTAAATTTACTAATGGTTCCATTAACCAAATTTTAAAACAATTAATTAAACTCTGATTTTTTTTTTTTTTTTTTTTTAAAGAAAACACTTTTTAGTCGTCATTAGTGTCTAGCATCAACATTTATGGTACAGTACGCAAACAGAAGCGCAGATTCAGTCATACTTTAGATGTTTTTGAGACGAACTGTGATGATTTTATGTCACTTTCTTTGTGATGTTCCAAGAAGATTTAATGTGTGCTTAAATTACAAACTTTTGAAAATGCACGTACATCAAGATAAACCTTAAATTGCAGGAATTCATTCAAGGCATGCAATGTTCATAAACCAGGTCCAGGCAGGACCACAGTTAAGATTTTACCTTAGTTCTTATGGTCATGTTGGACAGATGAGTGGCCCAGAATTCCTTCACAACAATGTGAGAGACTAACAAAGCGCCTCATATCTGATTCCTATTTGCCTCATATTTCATAATGCTTCCTAAAACTGACTTATCTAAACATCCCTCCATCTGCTGGAGATTTATGTCATGAAACAGAAACAACGTTGGCAGATTTACCTTGAAGCACCAAGAGGCTCTCTGTCTCTCTCTGTCTCTCTCTCTCTGTCTGTCTCTCTCTCTGTCTCTCTCTCTCTCTGTCTGTCTCTCTCTCTGTCTGTCTCTCTCCCTCTCTCGATGGAAACAATGTTAAAATGCCGGATGCTCAGACATTCTGTTGCGCGTATGTCCGTTCCTATGGTAACCAAGGTTGCAGCTCAAGCAATTAACACACACTAACAAATTGAAATAGAGTAAATCTTTACAGGATAATTGTTTATTCATTTCACACTGGACTTTTTCCATTATTTCGGCAAACGCAACGTAAAAATACGAGGCTAACTTGGTTTCAGATACCTTGACACAAACGGGCTCCAGGTGTTCTCTCAGAGCGAAGACGATTAGATGACAACTCGACTGGCGAGCTGCTCTCACTGCAGTCTTTATCTGAAGGCAGTGCTGCTTGGAGCCACTATAAGTCTTTTTTCCTCTCATATTGATTTTTTTTCTGTCCTCCTCCACTAGTCCTCCACTTTATGCATTCCATCCACCCTGGTGCTTCTTTCTCCTTGATGCAGCTGACCTCTCCTTTCAAGCTGCTGCTGATGCCACGTCCTGATAAAGCTGCCTCCATTCCTTTACTTGAGTTTTGTCCCAGTGGCTCAGACAGCTTCTGCGGCTTATTTTCACCCTGACTGCTGGAACCTGCATGTCCAGCTGTGCTATTTCTAACAACCACATGGCGCCCGCCTACTCCTGACCATGCTGGGGGAGAGCGGAGACGGCTCTTTGGACTTGACAGTTTGTGGTCGTCGCAGATCTTCCTATCATTTTTGTGAGAATGAAAACTTTCCTCGTAATGTAAAATGTAATCTGGCTCTAGGTACGTGTCTTTTCTGGATGTGTTTTAGAGCTGCTATATTCCTAATATAGCACTGCATATTGTAAACAAAGTCAAAAATTAACAGCAATAATTTTGGTTATTTAAGAGAAAATACTCACCTCAGCCTGCTGGATACTTGAAGTGAAAACGACTGCCTAGCTTACTTTCTGACTAATATTATAGATGCATTGATATAAGAATTTGGACCAATGTCAGTAATATTTCTAATATAATGGTGTATTATATTTACTATATTACAGTGGCCCAAAATTGTAAAAAAAAAAAAAAAAAGATAGTTACAACAGAAGTCATAATAAACTTGATGGCATACCTTCCATAGTTTTGTTGTGTTGTAGCTTTGAGTTGTGTTGCTTTTTGGTGTTTGTTGCTGTTATTTTTGTGTTGTGGCTTCTGCATTTTGGGGTCCCTGAACATCCGTATTTTATATATATATATATATATATATATATATATATATATATAATTTAGCCCTGCTTGAGCACTGAAATCTACAGCCTTGATCTCAGTAAACATGCACTATTCAGAAGAGGAACACATCGATAGCTGCACACATCATTCAAAGCCGTAATGGAGCCTAATGTTCCACTAAAACCCTTTTCATTTTCTCACATTCAGCTCTTAGTAGCAGATGTCTTTCAACACACCAGCAATCTTTACACGAAAGGAAACGGCGCTACAGCAGAAATGCGTGATGACATTTTTGTGATCATTATAGTTCATCATCATTATCACTTTCTCACTTGTACATAAGAAAACCCAACTTGATAAAGCTGCATTAGTGTTTCAGCTCACTGAAGTCTAATTGGTTTGCTGTGTTTCTTATAAACCATTTTCTCTTGTTTTGATTAATTAGCACCTGACAATTACCATCTTCATTTGTTGTTCTTGAGTAACCTCAAGGGATGCGATGTAGCTGGTTTGTCGGGTAATGCGGAGTACTTGAGCAGCCAGCGCCTTGTTTTATGCAGACAGTTCTGTAGGGAGTTGCTTAGATTTAAACCACCAGATGTTTGGATGTTGATTTCATGTAAATATCTGAATCTTTGCAGATGGTTATTCATCTGAAGTTTTCTTTTGCTTTTGCACAAAACTGTGTGATGGAACCACAACATTCCACCTTTTTTAAAATTTATATTTATCCGATGGTGTGTGTTTAGTCACAGCTCAATACATTTCTAACCATCATTTCCTACAATTAAGATTTAGTCTTGATCTCCACCAGCTTTAATTCAGAAGATTAAATTCCTGCAAGTCTCAAATGTTTTTTTTGTTTTTTTTTGCTGGCCCTGACATGTTTTCTTCCTGGTATTTTGCTTAATCTCCCTTCCCCAAATCACTAGCTGCGTCTCCAATGTGAGCAAAACTTTGTCAATATAATATGCTGAGAAAATAAAATTTAAAAATTTGGTGTTTATATTAAATAATTCAGTTAAAATCACAAGATTTGTTTATCGCGTGAACAAATATAAGTAAGTTTGTTCACGCGATAAAAACTACGTCCTGTCGTCTTCTTCGTGGTTTGTGCCAGTGACAACATCCTGTTGATCAAATGACTCATGTGATGTGAAAAAAAGTGTACATTGCTGATTTTTGAAAATAAACCAATTTCGATACGAAAAAAAAGAAAACAGGAAACACGTTTCACCCACCGCTGAAACGTTTTATCAGAAAACTAGTTGTTTTTTTTTTTTTTTTTTTTTTTTTAAATTGGGGTGTTTCCATTAAGCTAATTTATCTTCAGAATGTCAAATTGTGCAATTATATGGTCAATAGAAAAGCAGCTAACGACCAATTTCTCATGACCATGTTTCATAATGATGGTTTGTTCCAGATGAACTTTTCAAAATGGCTGCATCATTTCCCTCCCCACTTCGCAATTCTGAACTAGTTGCTCTTGCTCTGTGACTGTAACATGGCAAAATATGTCAAAGTTCAAAGGTTATGAACACTTTTTTGCGAGGCGGAGTGCGGGAACATTCAACCCGTCGTAACAAAAAGAAAAGCAGAATCATGTTGTTTCCCACATATCCGAATGAGCGCAAGCCGAAGCAGTTTTTCCTTCAAAGACGGAGCATCAGCGAGGTTGACTCCCATCCCTTCACCATGGATACGGTGCCGACGGCGACTTAGTGAGGCTGCTTGCTAATCGCTCTGGTGGGAAGAGGAAAAAGAAAAAGGAGGCCGCCGTTGTCGCTCGGCACTTCAAGACATTTTCACCAGCGCCGAGCGAAACGCCCACCCCATTGTCGCGGACGCAGTCAGTGGTGCCTTCTCTCCTCTACCTCCCCGGGTCTGTGAAGCCTTATCTTTGTGCCGCAGACCAAGCATGTGCACTGAGTAGGAGGAGATGGATCAGCTGATTTAGAGGAGATTTGATGCATTTTCATCTCTTTTGTGTTTGACTTCTGTTCTGTTGACTTTACAGTTCTGAAGCAAAAATTCAACCCTCTGATCTGTGAATGACACGGCACCCTAATCAATTTCCTCGCAGCGTTACCCGATTTTTTTTGTCAAAATTTTTTTTGTCAAAATTTATTTTGCCGTTGCATTTGATTAAACCTCTTTCAGGCTCAAGCTACCTTGACATATCAACTGAGTGGTTTCAGGCGCAAGGATCCTCCAGAGGCACGGGAGCAATGAATTTATTTTTGACACGGCTCCTGCCAGCTCCCAAGATTGAAAACATCACCTTGAGTGAGACTGAGGAAGGACGTGGCGGGCAGCCTTTCATTCTGCCTGATTTAGAAGGCTGTCTCAGATGCACATTTTGGAGCTTTTTGGGGGGAGAAAAAGGCCTGAAATTGACTGTCCTGATGTCTCAAACCAGTCAGCGCTGGTGCTCAGGTTAGAAAACGACTACAGAGGAGAAACAGTATTTATGTAGATATTAACTCTTTGAGATCTAATATGTTACACAGAGTGGCCTTAAAGGGGCAGTATTATGTATTTTCCATTCACATAGTGCACAATCAAGTAACTATGTTAAGTTCTGTTGTAAAAATGCTATATATATATATATATATATATATATATATATATATATATATATATATCAAATATGACATAGAAGAAATTTGGCTTTGTAATTTAATGCCATGAAATTGGTCCTCTGTCTCACCAAAGGCTTGTCCTCTGTCTGAAGCTCCGATTTCAGGAAGTTGTCACAGCATGGCTTGTCTTTTAACCCTTTAACATTTTCACCAGTGTTTCATTGAGAAGCAGCTCCAACAATGAGTGCAGCAGATGCTCAGTCTTATCAGGAGTTTGCTAATTGCTTCTGGCTAGTCTGAAGGAGCTGACTGGGAGAGTTGTGGGGGAGGGCTGAACATAATGACCTAGAAATCTGCCTCTAAATCTTCAGAAAGGGAGAAAACAGAAATGAGAAACCAAAGCAACAAACAACATATGCTTATACAATATTTTACACCACTAAAATCACTGAAAAATATGGAGTACAAGTTAATAGAAGATTTATCTAGTGGCAACTGTGTCCCAGCAGAGTGCATCCTGGAAACATTTGAATCTTAAAACACCTGAGTGTGTGTGTGTGTGTGTGTGTGTGTGTGTGTGTGTGTGTGTGTGTGTGTGTGTGTGCGTGTGTGTGTGTGTGTATACCTCTGATTAAAGAAAACGTTTGACTTGAGGAACTAGAAGCCACTTTTGGGGTAAATTTGGTTTGGATGTTTCACTGAGTCTCCAACAATGCATTTCTTCTCCGGTATCAGAGTGCCTTTGGCAAATAATGTTTGAAAAGACCTTGTCTTCATTGTTTGTCCTTCTGTCGCAATTTGCTCCTCAATTTGCGTCTTTCTTTCCAGTTTCATTGCCCTTTTTTTTTTTTTTTCCATCACCTGAGCAAAAACGGTCACACTCCGTCTCCTCTGGCAGCCCGTTTCCTCGCCTGCTGCGTGGCCTAATTATATGTCTCCTTCATAATGTGCTCTTCATCCCGCTGCCTCGCTCTGCCCTTACTACTCACACACCGTTCCTCTGTGTCCTCCCACTCAGTCTCAGGCCATGAGGATCGTGCGAACCGTGGGTCAGGCATTCGATGTGTGTCACCAGCTGACCCTGCAGCAGAAAAACGAGGATCAGGAGGATGAAGAGGGGAGGGTGGAGGAGCTGGAGGCAGCACCAGGTTATTCACACCTACACAGCAACCCGCTCGCGACTACAAAACACCTCCCTTCACTTTGCCCTCCTCCCAAATGTCAGGCTCTGCTCATGAAGAAACACAAATTTGTGACAATTCTGGAAAAATATGTCATTATCTTCCAACGCTGTCAGTTTTTTTTTTTTTTCAAATGAAAGATGCCGATTGTTTTATATGAGTCAACTAGGCCCACAGATCAAAGATCCACCATGTGTGAACTCCTGCCGGCTCGGCGCCCACTGATGCGGCAGCTGTCGTCGCCTCGAGACACGGCACATGCTCCGCGTGAAGCTCTCTCCTGACACATGTCGTTCTCTCCGCAGCGAAGAAGAGGCTGGCGCTGTCAGAGGAGACGGACCTCGAAGGCACCACGGAGGAGAGCATCGAGTGCGTCTCCTCGTCAGACCCGGAGAAGAACAAAAAGGACGAGGCCCTGGGAGCCGATGCCAAGGTGAGGTGCAGCTCGCTCATGTCAGCCTTGATCAATTCGGGTTTTCTCACGCAGCGCCCGGCTGCTTTCGCACCCCATTAAGATCAGTTTCATTCAAATGCTTAAATGCTTTATTTATCCCAAAAGGAAGTGACGTTAAAGTTGTAACTCATATTAATTCAAGGTTTTTCCGCAGAGCTGTTGTAAACGGTAATAGCTGTGGCAGGAAAGATGTCCGGTAGCAGTCTGTACTACAGTGAATTTGAAGAAGCCTCTGACTGAAGACAGAATTACTCTATAACAGTTCTCTTGTTCTCAGGGTTGTCCAAAATTGTCTTGGTTCTAAGTAAAATCCTTCTTTGCACTATCATCTCATAGGCTCTACAGTAGTCCCCGGTACAGAACCTCTTTTACTCTGACACCCCTAAATGAAATCCAGAGTAGAACTCAGAATTCATGTGATTAGTAAATGGTGTCTCCCTGTGTAGCTGCAGTGCTGTCTTTTAAAAACCATCAAAACTAATACAGTCCATTTGTGCAGAGAAATCCATGAAATTATTAAAAACTTCATATTCACATTTGTATATGTAACATATAGATGCCACTGTATACGTGACAAACAAAGAACAAGGGTGGAATTATGAAAATACTTTATAATTATGTACTGCTTTTTGTACATGCACACACAAAAAAAAAAATCCCTCCCAAAAAATGATCAGCACATAAACTAAATTATTCAGAGCAGTCATTAAAGTAATCATTTTTACTCTTGTTTGACTATAAACAAACAGTAGTTTCACTTCTTTGATCATATTTCTACCAGTACTACAAAAAAAAAAACTAAAAAGACCTAAAAAAGGTACAAATACTGCACTTATTACTAAACCCTGAATCAATCGAATACAGGCTGAAAGTTTCGCCTCGTAAAGCGTCTATGAAATTGGTAAACGGCTCCGAGGGATTCACGGGGTATTGAGCAAGCAGACTTTTGATTCTCATTTGTGGAGGAACGCTCCACAAGGTCTCTTCAATATTGATGGGATCACATGGTTTATTGATGAGACCACTGCGTACTCCTGCTAATCTCGGCGTGTTGGACAAGCCGCTGCCTGTTCCCCGATATTTGACTGCCGCTCAGCGAGTCTCCGAGGCGCCGGCCGCTTTATCGGTGCTACAGTGGGAGAAAACCGGTGCTGCCCTGGCAACGAGTTAAAGTGTTTAAGTAGAAATGCTTTTACAACACAAGTTAACATTATTATCTGTTTGTGCTATGAGATGACAATGTGCATGGAAAATAATAATAATTCTACGTCTTTAAAGTTTGCGCTGTGAAAGAATTTCTTCTGGTTTTGTTTTTTTGTCACACTTGAAAGTTTCAGATCATCAACCAAATTTTATTTCAATGATGATATCAGTTACTAAGGTAAGAGAGTCAGTTTAAATGAAAGAATACTTTAAATAATATATCCATTTTCAAATTATTGAAAATGTATCTAAGAATAAAGTTTAAGAGTTTTTGACAGCGGATTAGATATCTGACTTTCACAAAATGCATTTGTCTTTCTAAAAGGTAAAGGTAATCAACAGTATCAGCCTCAGTAGAACGTACTTAATGTTCTTTATCATTATTTACCGTCAGACAGCTGCTGCATTGATTTAGCCACGGTTTCATCAGGAATGTTATTTAACGGAGCCGCCCGCTGTGTGGTTAATGAGCTGCTCACGTCGTAATTTGTTCCTCATATATGAGCCTCATAACCCACAACTTCACTGGCAAATTCACTCCTCAGTCCTTAGCTTTTATTAGAGGCAAACATCAAGATGTGTTGTTTTGTGATTTTCACACAATAACAGCAGCCTGGTTTAGCCTTGGGCGATAAATAGAAAACAAGGTTTTCTGTTCTTCTGGGGGGGGAAGGATGAAAGAACAATAAATAGTCAGATAATCTAGTTCTGATATAAACAAGTATTTATTTCCCTGGGAAGTACTGGGATCGATTCTCCATATCAGTAAGTGGTGGTGACTTTAAAGTTGTGGTATCTTCAAATCTGAACATGAACTCAGCCAGTTCCAATATTTCAAACCAAGCATAAATATCCCAAATTCAAGCGTCACTATCACGAGTCCGTTTCTCATTAAAGTAAATACACATTATGCAAATATTTTTAAAGGAGTTCAACAAATACTACCATGCTCAGGCTCTGGACCATCAGATGAGATGTTAGCTTAGCATTAATCAGGGGATTTCATGTTTCTGTTGCATGAAGATGAAAGCAGCTCGGTGTTTCTTTACACCATCCTCCCTGAGGAGCTCAAACTATCAGATTCTCAGCTTTTAAACCACTTCTGTACATATTTTTATTCTCACACACCCACTAATACACCAGCTCTCAAACATCTTCCCATTATTACTCCACGAATGATTGTTGTTTTGTATGTGGCGCTACGGCTACACCTTTGTTTTAGTCCCGTCATACTTGCTGTGTTTTTGTTTTTTTCTACCACCTCAACATTTGTGCTAATAATACTGCAAAATCAAAAGTATTTATCTAACCCCGTGTGCTTTGCTGTCATTGGACTATATAATAAATGTTTTTCTTTTCAGTCAGCTAACAATGAAGCATGCTAGGCTTCAGCAGAACAGTAAGTTCTCTGCTAACTACAAAGCCCACTGGGTTAGCTCAGTGCTTTTGATTTTACAGTATTATTAGCAGAAAGGTTGAGGCGGGAGAAAAACAAGAACACAGCAGACGTGACGAGACTAAAACGAAGGCGTAGCGGTTGCACCGCATATCGAGCAACCATCAGATATAGAGGAATAACTGAAGGATGTTTGAGAGCTGCTTTGTATGTGGGTAAACGTGAGCGTAGAAACGTGAACAGAAGTGGGTTAGTTGGATCAAAGCTGACCAAACAGGACAGTCTCCTTTTAGTCATTCTCTTAGCAATCGGCCAGCTTTGACGACCTGCTCTCCAATTCCTGTCTTTTTGTGCGTTTGTTTATTTTCACTTCCTCTGGTCAAGCTGATGTTGCCTTTTCTTTATTGAATCTCTTTAGTGGAAACTACAGAGGGAATTCTGAACCGTTGCCTGACTTGTAAATGAGACGTTCAGAGCAGTGATTCATCTTTTACATGAGTGCTAAGCAGTTGCAGTCGGACGTCACATCCCATCAGGACGCTTTTTTTATTTTTTTTTATTAGTATTTTATGTTTTATTTTTTTTGTAAGTTGACCATTCAGACGGTCGCTCTTAAACCTCGCAGCTCTTCCAGTTGTTAATCCAACGTGATGATGATGGATCAAACTGCTTTCTGTCTCTTCTCCCTCCTTTGGTTGGGCCTCACAGGGAGCTGTCTTCCCCCGCAACATCCACGAGGAGTTCTGTGCTTTTTGTTTTTTGCCGCAGCTTGGCTTCATTAGCATGCAGCGCGCTAATGAAATTCAGCCAGTCAGGAAATCATCTTAATAGCTTTTGCATCATCAGGAGCACCATCACTCAGATTTATGTCTCTGAGCGCTGCTGGTGGTTCGATCGGTGCCCAAACCTACAAATTGAAGAAATCTGAATCTGGATGGATGAAGTCGGGGGGAGGAGGGGAAGTTGCGTCTCTTTACACTTATTTTTATTGAGCTTATTTGATAGGGACAATAACCAAACTGAATAAAGCAGCAGTCCCATGTCTGTACCATGGTGATTATAGCGTGGGTTGATTTGTAGCCCTTTTATGAACAGCATCTCTAAGGAAGTGGGACGGTAATAAAAGATTACAATAATTAACAATAATATTAACAACATAAACAGCGTCATACACATGAAGCAAAGAGATTAAAACATAAGAAATAAAATGCATTAAGTGTGAATGCAATGCTGTTTTTGACACAGCCAAGAGTTTGGTGTGTTTTTCACATTATTTATTCATAGTTCAGAGAGCGCGTACTGTTCTGCTGTTGATCCCTCATGACCTTTGGACCATGGGAGGAAGCCGGAGTACCCAGAGGAAATCAACTTATGCACAGGGAGGACATGTAGTGTGACAATAAATGAAACTGTTGAGTTTTGTGACAGCAAATAAAATGATTACTTCATTTAAAGGCGGAGTTTCAGAAAGAGACAGAAGCGCAGTTTCAAGGCATTACGTTCCGAAGTTTCTTTTAAGTCACATATGATGTATAGCATTTTTAAAACAACTGAAAGGTAACATAGTAACTTGATTGGAACTATGTGGCTGGAAAGCACACGATACTGTCCCTTTATACATATGCATGTCGGAAGGTGAAAGGTTTTATAGTGTTGTTGAATTCTTCAAATATGATATGTCTAAACCAGGGGCTTTCATTTCATTTCATTTGTTTGTTTTATTTATTTATAATTTTTTTTTCAAACCAGTTTTTGAAAAACAAGAAAACAAGTGATCAGTACGACAAGAGAACAAAAACAACTAGCTTACTGCTACTTTTCAGTTTAAAAAGGAGTAGGAAGAAGTGAAGATTTATTTAATCTTACCCCTAATCTCAATTTAATGAAATATACCGACTCAGTAATTATTAGAAATCAGTCATTAGAACCATCTTATGGTACTCATATGCCTGTTCAATATACTCTGCTGAAGAACCAACAAATAAGTTATACTACATGAACAAAGTTGAACAATCTGAACAACAAATGAACAACAAACAAGCTGACTCAGAAAATCTACTTTGCTTAGGTAAATAAATCTGACGCAGTGAGACGTCAGACAGCTCAGTGACATTCAGAGCTGATCTGGTTCTGCTCCGCGTGTCCAGGTGTGTGAGGACTCTCCTCTCCTGCTGAGCTCCCCTGTTATCGAGGCCTCCTCCCTGGCCCAGCCGGCGGCCGAGGCCTCCTGTTCCGCAGAGCACCAGGTCCGGCTGCTCCAGAAGCAGCTCCAGCAGCAAGAGCAGCAGTCGCTGGCAGCTTCCGCACAGGTCACTTCCTGTCTTTTTTTTTTTTTTTTAATGTTCCAATTGCGTTTGAGACTAAATCAGATGAAGGTAAGACTGGAAAAACCTGGAGAAACTGAACGCCTCGAACGGAGACTCCATTCTTGTGCAGTTTGCTTCCAAAGCAGAAGGCACGAAGGGAAAAAATAAATTTGTTTTCATCGACGTGCTCTCTGCAGGTCCACGTTCTGCAGGAGCAGCTGTCGGTGGAGATGTGTGCACGCACCGAGGCCCAAGCCCGAGTCCAGAGGCTGCTGCAGCAGAACACCGACCTGCTGCAGCACATCTCCCTGCTGGTCAAGCAGATCCAGGAGCTGGAACTCAAATCGGCCGGACACTTAACGTCTAGTGAGTGAACAAATGGCTTCGCTTCCTTGTTTATTTTGTTAGATTTTTGTATTTTCTCCTCTGCAAAACTTCAAACCACCCTTCCCCCCCTCCTCTCTTCCTTCCCTTTTTCTGGTTTGATTTTCTCGCCCTATCTTCCGGTTATAGCTCCTTTTTATCATCCACCGCTGGCACGCAATTAATTATCCCATGACAGGCCTGTCAGAGAATGCAGTAAAGATCTCTGTTCTTCCCCCCGCCCCCTCTCTTCCCTGCATCCAGCCAGTGGCGATAAGCTAGCATGAAGTAATTACTTGTGAAACCCCGTCAGCGCTGACATCATCCCACTCTGTGTAGCTTCTCCCTCTCTGCATAGAAGATTTATTGGTATTGTTTTCTGTCTTTTTATGCAAATCCTAAAGTTCCACCTCTTCTTCTTCGCTTCCCACCAGTCGGTGCCTCGCAGAAGTATTCATAACTTGAACTTTCTGACATGTCGTCACATTAATTTCTGTGTATATCACTGAGATCATTCACAAGAAACAAACACACACCAGCAGTGTTTCTCAATTATTGTCTATCATTTTCTTTCACGACAGTAGCTGTGTTTGACATTTCTAAAGTAAATTAGCTTAACGGAAACGCACCAATTTTGAAACAACTCTCATTTTTTGACAAAAAGTTTTGCCTCTCGGATGAGAGTTTTTTCTTTTCTTTTTTAAGCTGTATCAAAATTGGTTTATTTTGCAACGTTGCCATGGAAACACTTTTCGCATCAAACGAGTCATGTGACTCAAACATGAACTCAAACGTAAACCATGAAGAATTCAGGAAGTAGTTGGAGGATGATGTTGACTTATCGCGTGAACAAATGTATTCATGTGTGATCCCGATTGTGTTTCTTATTTAATGGAAACACAGCAGTTTGTGAAATTGTGTTTTTCCGACATTAGTGGAATATCAACAAAGTTTTGCGACTATTTGCAATGGAAACTTTAAACACAATGACCCGAATTTGTACAGATGAGAGCATCAGTTTAACTTTTCTTCTCTCCTTCATATCACGTCAGTGGGTTCCCAGGACAGTCTTCTGGAGATCACGTTCCGCGCCAAGCCCCCCGGTGCTCCTGGTGCATCCATGACTCGTTCCTCATCCGCGGGCCCGTTAGCAGCTCCTTCCCAGCTCCAGATCGCTGACGGCGCCTGGTTCTCGGCCCTGTCCGGGCCCTGTTCCCCAGGCGCCGCCGGTGCCGACTCCGACTCTGTCCCGCTGGGGCCAAGCGGCAACGGGGTCCGACTCGAGTGCTTCCGCTTCTCCTCCCTTGTGTCGGACGGCCTGGCTGGGGGCCGGGACGCTGGAGAGACGCCCAGCGACGAGAGCTCGCTGCTGGGGGCCCTGGAGCTGCTGCGCTTCAGAGAGTCCGGCATCGGGTCGGAGTACGAGTCGAACACGGACGAAAGCGACGACCGCGACAGCTGGGGACAGGGAGAGGGAGCGGACGGTGCCGCACGGCTTCTCAGCGTGCTGAATTCAGAGAGTCTGCCGGACTGCCTGGGGGACGAGATGGCCGTTTAGCGGTGTGGCGACGTCTGGACGAGGCGAGAGAAACTTATGCACCGCTGCGAGGAAACTGGTGCAGAAACTTACTGATGCATCACACAAAACTTATGAGTTGTGAAAAAAAAAAAAAAAACAGAACTCATCTATGAAGCTAAATTGCGGCCATAACGTTTGTTAAAAAGAAAAGAGAATAGAAATTGGAAAAAGGATTCTAAACTGAAAAATTATTTTGAAACTGAAAGAATATTTTAAGGTCAAAAGAATATTCTAACCTGAAAAAATGTTCAAAATTACTTCAGTTTCAAATCTTCTTTTAAGTTTCTTTTTTTTTTTCTTTTCAAAAATTTAGCTCCATACTCATCTGCACTGTCTGTCATCTGCAGCTATAATGTAACTCTTCACGCGCCTTTCTTTTTCCGACTGTTTTATTTCTGTATTTTACTTTCTTTGGTAAAATTTACTCTCTGAAAGGTTAAAAAAAACTAAACAAGCAGTATTTCTATGCTACTGAAAACATTGAAGCTGAACTGCTAAAGTTATCAAAGTCTTTTCCTCTGCTGCTCTTCTAGATCGCTAACATTTTTAGGGCTTGAAAAAATAATCGGCCTCCGCTGCATCTGCTGTGTGTTCATCCAGTTGTGAAATTAAGAGATGACGAAATGTTCTGATAGGAAATGATTACCTAGTGTGTTTATTTTTTTCCCAACAGCTTTGGAAATAATATATTTTTCACAAGGCATCTCAGTTTCTACAGAGGTCCAAAAGGGACAAAATTAAATAATTAAAGACGATGCAGATAATTAATTCAATTGGTATTAATTAATTCCTGCTCATCTGTCAGAGTTGCCCATCAAAGTCGAGTGGCGGTGCTGTGTGCGGGACTAACGCTGATCTGATGAACTCCACTGATTCTTTGAAAATTATGGAATTGTAACAGAGGATTTTTAAGAGCTTTCACAACTCATGAGCCCATTAGACAGATTTTACAAATAACAGGCAACATAGAAGCAAGAGGTTGTCATCTGGACCACACGGCGGAGAAAGTATAACAACTGATTAAATGCCACGATTTTCGAAGAATGAGGCTAAAGTAGTGGAGTTTGACAAACAGTTTTAGCCCCGCCCACAGTTCCGCCCCTTCACTTTAATGAACACGATTGACAGATGAAACTTTCAGGAACAGAAACTATGAATTAATTAAACATATATTTAAATAAATGTTTACAAAGATTGAATTTTAATGATTTAATTCCATATTCAATAAATGATATAGTGATATATTTATTTTTGTTTTGTCCCATTTGGCCCTCCATAGGTTTTGACAAGTACAGGGCAATGTCTTTCTGAAACTCGTGTCAAGAAAAAGCTTCTGAAACTTATTTTAAAAAGTTCCAAAATGGGTTTTTGTTTTTTGTTGCTATTAATCTTTATTATGTTTAACATCAGGTTCAGCAAGTAACGCATGACCTCATCCACCTCCTGCAAATGAAAAGCACAGAGAACAACTCAGCTCTATAGACAAAATATAACTCTTAGCAATGAAATATAAATCTGAAATTCAAAGCTGCTGTCACACTGTTAGCTAGTTAGCTGGCCGTTTATATGTGTGTATTGAAAGAACGTTTGTTTCAAAGGTCCAGACATGAGGAAACAATGGAAGATTTGTGGAACATACCGTCCTGTGATGTCTTTGAATTAATTGTGTCTCTTTTTGATTTTGATGTGCTCGTGTTCTAAATAGTACATGTGCACTGGGATCAAGAGTGTGGAATTCACTGTTCCCATTCATGTTGTTGAGATACCATGCTCTTTTTTTCTTTTTTACTTTGTCATACTGAAGGATCAACTAACCATCTGGTTAGTCAATGCCCAACAAGTTCCCCCAATTTATCAGACAAATGTTAGCCAATCGGAGAAAAGGTAAAGCCATTACACTTTCAGTTTCAAGCTTCAGCCATGCTAAGGTTAGTAAGTCTTCATCACCACAGACAGCATAGTGTAGCATGAGATTAAGTCAATTATTGGTCATTTCAGCAATGACATGTATGTGGCACTCATACAGCAGATTTTTGTCAATATGTCCAAAAGTTCTGTAGCAGCTACATTTAACAGTTTCAGATTGTGTTTGCTACAGTATGAAATGTTTAGTAAAGTGATGCGGAAGTTTTAATTTTCTATTTGAGACAAAAGGCAGACGGGCAATATTATCGCAGGGATATCAGACAAATAAACATCAGTGGGTGCGGATTTGATACCACACTGGGTAACTGACTGAATCAGAAAATAGGTCAGGCTGCCTTCCGTTGGAGCCACTTCAAGCACCCATGTGGACCGAGTGTCTGCATAGCGTAGCGTGAGATTAGGTAATGTCATTATTGGGTTATTGCTGTGAAATTTATTGCTTTCACAAATTTGATTGTATTTGTGTATGTGTGTGATATATATTGTGTCTAAATTGTTAAGATTTTGTTTCCAGGTGAAAACATGATCATTATTTTTGATCAAATTGAACATCAACAGCTTTTCTATGAGGTATGTAGCAAGTTTGTGACTTCAAGAACCACTGTTATAAAAAGTTTGGATATATGTGTTAGCTTCACATATTCAGGAAAAATAAATTATATTTGGGTTAAAATTTTGGGAGAAATAATTAGCCACCTCTTACCTATGTCTTTTATCGAACAAGACAATACATAGATAAGTAATGGTAAGAGATCTGTTAAATAATACAAACTTAGGGCAGACTGAGCTTTTTTAGGCAGCATTATATAAGACTTGCAGATAATTTAATATAAAAAATACAAAGGTTGAAAGATAACATATAATTTCATTAAAAGATTTAGGATTGTTCCTGTAGCTCATCAGACTAAATTACCAAGATAAACCGGACACAGCTTCCATTTAAATCCTAAATTTAAACATAGCAGCATGATGTCATGTGCTAAGTATTAAAAACTCTCGATAAGTAAGAAAAAACTTATAATACTAAATTCGTGAAACATATTTCTGAAAGATCTAAAAGTTGTCATGACCGCACTGTTTGTTTTTTGTGTATGTTTGCAATATTCATATTTATTTATATGGGGCAATACATTTTTTTGGAGTAAATTTTGCAGCGCAGGCTTTAACTTTAAACTGTAATTATACATGGCATAAAACTGAGCATGCATCTAAACAGTATGACCTTTTATATTCACTTGTACAATGCATAAAATAATCAGCTGGAGTTTCTTCATTCCGGTTTTGTTAGTTAACATGTCTGTACAACTCAGACATTTCAGAGGGAAATGGCTAACTAGCTTCTGTCCTGCTGCTTAAAAATGTAGCAGGACATGTCACACTGTCAGTGCTAATTACTAATGGGATATATTTTTGTAAGTCTGGTTATGTTGTGCTGTCATGGACAGTTGGTGTAATTTCAGTGAGAAGAATTGAGTAAAAGCTTTATTTAGCTAACATTAACTTCATCAAATCAGAAGATTTTTGACAGTCAACTTAATAATGCTAATGCTGCTATGCTAACAGAACTGAGGTTTTGCTCAGTTGCATCAGCATTGTGTAGATTGGATATGTCTGCACTGAACAGGGTTTTTTTTAAAACATGTTGGATTTATGAAACCAATTAGATTTTTAAAAAAGGAGCAAATTTAACGTTTCTTAGGACTATCTTGGATTGAGACAAGAATCAAAACAGTAATATATGAACCCCCATCAAACCCAGGCTATTTCTGCATTTCAGACTGTTTAAACCTGTTTATTCGATTATAAAAAAAACAACAGAAATTTTGTTTTTTTTTTTTTAGTTTTGAAAAAGATTGTTTCAATCTTGTTCTCATAACCTAATTGTAATTTAGAAAGTGTTGTTCAGCTACACTTATTGCTCATTTTCATTAGCCTTGTTGCTGAAACACTGTGTTTCCATTGACCATCTAATTGCACAATTTCACATTTCGAAAGTAAATTTGCTTTATGGAACCGTGTCAATTTTGAAACATCTCTAGTTTTCTGATTAAAATGTTTTATCTCTAGGATGAGGTGGGTTTTTCTTGGCTGTATAAAAATGAGTTTCTTTCGCAAAATTGCAATGGAAATACTTTTGTCGCTTCACACGAGTCACACGATCGACAACAAGATGTTACCACTAGCGCAAACCACGAAGAAGACAAGAAGTAGTTGGACAATGACATGGCATGTCTCATAATGACTTATCACGTGAACGAACTTGGATTGCGTTTCTTCTTTAATAGAAATTGCAAAATTGTGTTGTTGTTTTTTTGTTGTTTTTTTCGACATCAGTGGAATAATGACGAAGTTTTACGCACATTATTTTAGTGGAAACGCAGCTACTGGCTGCTCCTCCACACCGCCCCACTCCTAGTAAAACAAGCCGTCCCTCCAGTACTACGTCGTGGCTGTCCGTAAACTGCTGCGTCATTGTTGCGTCACACGTTGAAATGTTTTGAGACAATTTTAGGAGCGATGACGCTCTGTCGGACACTTTTGGACTCTAATGCACCAGCTCCACCATGATGACTGTGAGTGTATTTATTATCTGTGTCCCCGAGCCGGGACGGTATCTCTGAGCCGTTTCTAAACGTGAATATTGGGTTCCATTCTCTCTTTTTTCTTCCTCACCTTTCACTTAAAGTTTCTAACCTCTTTCCTCCTCTCTTTCTGTCTTACCTACATTTTTTTCCTCCAAGGTTATGTCTGTTCACAAGAAGTGTACTAAAAATGAAAGTGCACTTATGTTGATGTTCCTCGTGGAATTAAATGTCCTTTCTCAAAATCCACTTGGTGTCGTGCTGCGTCTTGTATTTATTTAGGGAAGCACAGCTCCACTTTTACAGCTGAATTGTGTGTTGTTGTTGTTTTTTAAACATAAACATAAATGCTTTAAATTACAAATTTATTTGGCAACTCTGCACCAGTACAGCACAACTGGAAACACAAATAGCTTCACAAGTTTGGTCAAACATGTAGAACCAACACAACTGCAATTCGTTCAGTCAGTGCAATTAGGAGTAGAAGAGCAAATGTAAAATAAATAGTAAAGAAACTGAAATTGACAAAAGCAACAAGTTGACTACCTTGGTCAAACTTGTATAAAAAAAAAGTGCAACAATTTTCTTTCAAATGGTGCAGAAATTAGGAATTCAAAATATAATGTAAAATAAATAAAGCATGACGTCGCTCAGAGCACGAAGCGTAGAATTAGACTGAATAGATCTGTTCTTATGGATTGCTTTAAGCATTGTTACGATACCCGATCTATAATTCACGACCGATTGAAATATTAATATCGGATCGGTTCAGCTTTACTTTTTGAAAAGAATCTCTGAAGTGAAAACAGTTTTCCAAAGTAAGGACAACCTTTAATAAAAAATAAAAACCACCTGACCTGTTGTGAAAACAAGATGCGGGAAGTTCTCGGTGAAGCACCAGCTGTGCTCATTAAACCGGGTCAGCTCCCATTAAGTGCAGCACGTCTGCAGGCGGCAGCAGCTCCGTGTAAAGCTGATAAGCTGGAAAATATGAATAATATCAGCCATTACCCGCCCACATCCGTCCGCGGCGTCCTGCAGCTGCTGCTGACACAGATAGTGGGCGGCCCGCTGCAGTTGGCATCCTCTTTAATCTGTTTGATTATCATTAAAAAAAAAAAAAAGACTGTAGGGTCATCCTGTTCACGCTCTCGAATCTTATTTTGTGTTTCGCCAGTAAATTGAATCGTTCGATGTAAAATGATGAGTTTGCATACAGTAAAATGTTCCGGTATGATCCCTTGCTTGAGGTTTGAGGTGAATGGTTAGAAGCTGGTGTAGAGCATAAAGTGGGAAATGACCGACTGGGTTTTGATTCAGTACGTTTCTACTTTACGATTCTGATTTTCTCCGCAATATAAACATCTCAGTTTTTGCTCTGCAGCGTCTGAAACAAAAGCATATCTGGTAAAGTTTCTCTGATACAGGAAAAATTACTCTGCCATTTTTTATATGGCGTCTTGGAAAAATATTAATTGTCCTTGAAGTCAGGCAAGTCACTTAGTACAAATACTAACTTGAATCTCTTGTTAGAATTTTTACCACCAAAAAGTAGTGCATAATTGCTAACTTGGATTTTCAAAAAAAAATTCTATTTGAATTTAACATTTTTAGTACTTGTTTTCTGATTTCTGATGCCCTGAAATCCTGTTAGAGAGGTGGTATTACTCGTTTTCCAAGCACATAGTGCCATTTTATAGCACAATCAAATAATTTTGACTTTGTAATTGAAGGTCTTGAAGTTGGGTCTCTGTCTCCTTAAGAAGCTCCTGCTCTTTCCAAAACTCCACCTTCAGGAAGTCATCACAACATGACTCCTCTATTAACCCTCTAACAACATTCTTACGCCTAGTCCAGCCAGGCGTTTTGCACAGCTGAACGGTTGCCATGGGAGATTAAAGGATTAAAGAATCACATTAACATTCCAGGTATGTTTTTGATAAAGGATTAACTCTATAACATGATGTAAAGCTCCAAAAAGTAGATTTTACATAATACTGCCCCTTTAAGGGGTAAAAATTAGCTGAGTATTTCTTTTTTAGCTCGTGTGTGAGCTAAAATCATGTGTGAAGATTGAAGGGAAACAATTTCACTTGTTGATGTACGCTATAACCTAACCCACAGAAGTGAAACAAACTGGTGATATTGTGATATTTATAATATGTACATAAACCTGGATATGGATGACATGAAGGGAGAAGTTGAAAAGGTTTCAACTGAAATTCATCTTGGAGATCTTTACAGTCCCAGATGGGATCAAGTGAAATGTGTCAGTCTTCTGTTTATGTTTTGGTGCAGTTTGTGGATTTACTTGATATTTAAAGTGCTAATCTGCTTCTGTTTCTGATCTTCATCATACGTACAGCAGCTCTCCTCTTCAGGGTCACAATTTCAAATAATCTCAGCTCGAAACGTGTCTGTTTTCTCTGTTTCTTTCCTTCCATCCCAGATGGATTGACTGTTGCATCAGCCTGTGTTTTCCTTTCTCTCTCTCTCTCTCTCTCTCTCCCTCTCTCTCTCTCTCTCTCTCTCTCTTCCCCTCCCTCTCTCCCTCTGAGTCTCCTGTCCATACCCAGAAATACCTTCCAAAGACGAGGTCAGCAACAACTCACGGCTTTGAGTGCATCAAGTTCTAGAGAATGTGGAATCTTCTCTGAGAGAGGACAGAGGAATGTCAGAATGTAAGTAAAACCAACAAAGAAGAACAAACCTTGAACTGTTCAAAAAAAGTGCTATATTCACACAACTTACTTGTTAAAAGTTGCATTTTCTTAATCTAGATGCAGGATTTGGAGTTCAGTCTTATATGTTCCTGCTCTTTTATTTCATTTTTTTTGTGTGTGTAAATGTAGCAATACATTCAGTAGAGCTGTCCAGTTTAAGATTTAAAGTCTAATGTTTTGATTTCCTCTGACTAATTCTTCCGCAGACATATGTAAGAACGCCAAGTGAATGAGATCAATGACTCCAAATGGAAGATTTAGAAAAAAACATTTTATTCTCTATCTGCCTTTTCAGGTTCGCAGCTCCTTGAGACGACGAGCGTCATGGAGGTCAAACTGAACCTTTGCTGCGTCTTCTTCATCCTGACGGCCGCCACCGTAAAGGCTCAAGTCAATCCAGGTAGAGACTCGTTCAGGTCGTTCATCTGCCAGCCAGAAGGCAGACCAGTCAGCTGCTGTTCATAAGATTATTCAAAAAATGAAAACATTGGCATGTTGTCCGGACCTTAAGGTGGGTGGGCTCAGAATACATGGTGTGTGTGTGTGTCTGAGTGTGTGTGCGTGTGTGTGGACTTTTACGTGCTACATATAGAGGACCACTGTCACCATTGAAGACATTTTCCAGGTCATCACTTGTTTTCTTGCAGTTCTACAGGTTGGGATTAGAGTTATGATGTGAATTATGTTTTGGTTAAAGTGTGTGTTAGGAATATACTAGTAATATTTTTTGGATTTGAATTTAACTCAACTGAATAGTTAGGGTTAAAAAAAATGTCTGGGTTAGGCATTTATCGTATCGTTTATCATTTAACACTTATCGTAATAAATTTCTCATCCCAATGAGAATTTTTGATTAATTGTTGTCACGATAAATTCCAGTCAATAATGTTTAAAAGCCCCGAAATCTGTTTGTAGTGTTGGGATTGTTCGTTTTATTACTTTCCTCCACTGTTTAGACATTAGGGGTGAGCATTTATTGTATTGGTTATCATATATCGCGACAAATTTCTTATCACGATAAGAATTTTGATTCATTGTTGTCACAATAAATTCCAGTTAATGAGGTTTAAAATGCTCCCAATTTGTTAAGATTGTTAGTTTTACAAATTTTTTCATTGAAGGCATCAATACATTTGAAAAAAAAAAAAAGTAGTATGCAGTTCTTTATCAACTTCTGTCTTAAAGAAATTCAGTCACAGCCACATGGTTGCCTCAAAGAAGAATTGATAAAAAGTTATCGCCACTTTTATCCTCATCACAAAATGTACTGCAAAATGTTTTGATAAAACTTTAAGTTCTTATTTTAAAAGCAGCTACTTAAATGAACAGAAGCCGATGCGAAGTTCTCTGTGCGGTAGCAGTACAAGGAAGTGTGTGTGTGAGTGTGAGTGCATGTGTGTGTGTGCGGTTTGCCCAGTGGTCAGGAGGCAAACATCCTCAGCACAGGCAGAGCTTTCAGGAGCAGGAGGCAGGGCGGGGAAGGCAGAAGGTTTGTTGGCGTAGTTCTGGCTAACATACACTCCTGCTCTCATTCTCCACATGTGACGAATCAGGTGCGTCCTTACATTTCAAGACTGTTCTTTTCTCTGCCTTCTTAAAGTTTTGCGGGCAACAGGGCAACAAGAAAACCTCGACCGGGGATAGGACTAATCAGGATACCCTTTCACCCCTTTGTCTGCTATATTTGGGATCAGATGCTTTCTCTAATACCTTGAGTTTTGTTTTCCTAAGATAATCTGGGCCGGCTTTCTAAGATTTTTTTTTTTGCTAAAAAAGTCATGAAAACCGAGGAAAGTGAAGAGCAGCCAGTTCAGCAGACACTCCCTTCTCGTTTTGCTTAGACTGGCACCCACACAGTGATGCCTCTGTTTGGCTTCAGGGGCCACGCAGGGCAGCAGGAAAAGGGGCAAGAGGGAGGAAGGCAGTCCAGTCCAATTAGTACTCAACTCCTGAGGTCCTGTAGAAATATATAAAAAGATGGGAGTAGGAGAGGGGGGAGGGAAATGGCAAGACACCTTGCAAAAGTATTCATGTCCGTTAAACTTTTCCATGTTTTGACACCAACACAAACTTCTGTGTGTTTTGAAGCCTTCATCAAGTTGGACAAGATGTTCACCGCTTTTGAAATCAAAACCTGAAAAGGTGTTTGTATCGAGCTTCCTCGGTTGGAACTTAAAGGGACAGTACTATTTAAAATCGACTATTTTGAGCCTCATGTTATAATGTTATTCGCTCATCAAAAACATACCTCGAGTGTTGCCTTGATTCTTTCATTCATAAGTGAGAAATCCCTTAATCTCCTGTGGCAACCAGGTGTGCAAAACACCTGGTTTGCACAACTTTGAGGACGAAACTCCTCCTCAGAACAACAGTTTCCAGGCTTCTGCATGACAGATCAGTCCTCCTCTGGAACTCCTCCACTCAGCTCCTTCAGACTAGCCAGGAGCAATTAGCAAACGGGAAGTATGAGCTGCCACTCAGTGAAAACGGTGTTAAATGGTTACTAGAGGAGGCATGTTGTGATGA